TCGGTTCCAAAATTTACTGTTTGGATCGAATGTATTGGATACCAAGATGCTCTTCTTGACACTGGAGCAGCAGTGAACGTTCTGGCATCATCCCTGGTTCCAGCAGACGCACGTCTTCGTCCGACGTCACTTGGATTGTTCACTGTGAACGGTACTGCAATTCACACTCTGGGTATCCTCACTTTGCAAGTGAAAACAGTTGAGAGTACATCACCAGTGGAGTTCGTGGTGCTCGAGAACTCTGTTTGCCCGGTAGTGCTTGGCTACGAGTGGTGTCGTAAGAATAACTTTCTTAATAATGAGTTTCCGGATTCAAGAGTCAACAGAATCGCAACATCGACAATTGACCACAGTAAGTTCTTATCAAGGCACAAGCTACATCTTGGCGCCGCTCGAGTTATCTTCAACGTATGGAATGTCACCACTGCACTTCTGAGAGATTTGCTAGACCACGCCCAGAAAGTGCTTCGAGCTTTGCTTGGCACCGACACAGCAAGTATCACACCTGTGACAAGCAGCGTCTACGTGTGCAAAACGGTCACCATACCCCCGAGCTCTGCTGCGTGGGTTCCGGTGAATACGCCCGACCAGAGCTTCAGCGGCGACGTCATCTACGAACCTCTCCTTCAAGCTAAACCTGGACACGAGTTTGTCTCCCCCCACACTTTGGCATCTTCTCTGCGGGGAAACTTCGTCATCTTGGCTGTAAATATTGGATTGAACGACATCACGCTAAAACCTGGGGAACAAGTCGGAACCGCCCAGCCCTACTGCCCTGAAGTGCAGGTGAATACAGTCGCACTTGAATTCAACTCACAGGCAGACATACCCAGTCTTCCATGGGAAAAATTTAATGTTAATCCTGACCTAGACGCAGAACAGATGGCAGCACTTCGACAGCTCCTTCAACGTCATCGTAGCTGCATCGTACTTTCTCCAAATGAACTCGGCTGCACGTCTTTAGTCGAGCATTCCATCGACACTGGGGACAGTCGACCGACTCACCAATCACAGCGTAGGTTTGCTCCTTCCGAACGGAGTGTTATTCAAACGCAAGTTAAGGACATGATTCAACAAGGGGTGGTCGTTCCTCCATCAAGCCCATGGTCCTCTCCAGTGGTGCTCGTCCGAAAAAAAGATGGTGCAATCCGGTTTTGTGTTGACTATAGAAAAATCAACAGCCTTACGAAACAGGATGTGTACCCCCTACCTCGCTTGGATGATGCCCTGGATCGACTACAGGGATCAGAATATTTCATCACCTTGGATCTCCTATCAGGATACTTGCAGGTTGCGCTGGACCCCAAGGATGCAGAAAAATCTGCGTTTGTAACACCTGATGAACTGTACCAGTTTACAAGAATGCCTTTTGGGCTGTGTAATGCACCTGCAACATTTCAGAGATTAATGGACAGGGTGCTAGGCCACCTGAAGTGGACCATGACACTCGTATACCTAGATGACGTAATCGTCTATGGAAGCACATTTGATGAACACCTCCAAAGACTCACATCAGTATTGGATGCGCTCTCCTCTGCCAATCTGCGCCTGAAATCGGAAAAGTGTTACTTTGGGTATAAAGAGGTAACCTACCTTGGACACGTTGTATCGAAAAGAGGGATTACATCAGATCCTGTCAAGCTTCAAGCCTTCGCAGAGTATCCTGTTCCAACATCATTAAAGGAAGTAAAACGTTTCCAGGGATTCGCATCATATTTCCGCCGATTCATTTCTGACTATGCGCGCCGTGCGGCTCCAACGACCCGTCTGCTACGCAAGAATGTACCCTGGCGATGGACAGCAGAGGAACAAGCTTCCTTTGAAGACCTGAAGAGTGCTTGTTGAGTGCCCCGGTTCTCGCCTACTTTGACCCTGCTAAGGCGACCTATCTCCACACAGATGCCAGTGGACAGGTACTCGGTGCTGTTTTGTTGCAACAAGATGACGACGACAAGCAACGTTTTGTTTCATACGCAAGTCGCCGTCTGACGGACGCAGAACAGCGGTATCATTCTTCAGAGCTTGAGTGTCTTGCACTAGTCTGGTCAGTGCAACACTTCCGGCCATATCTCTACGGGCGACACTTCACTGTTGTGACCGATAACTCAGCCTTGACACGGCTCCAAACCAAGAAAGATCTAACGGCCAAACTAGCTCGTTGGTCGATTTTACTTCAGGAACATAACTCCACAATTGTTCATCGGAGTGGCAAAGAACACCAAGATGCAGACTTTCTATCTCGTCATCCGATGAAGGACATGCCGGATTCTCTTGACCACGATGCTTGCTTTTGTGCGTCTACATTTAATTTGAACGCAGGCCAGGAACAATATTGTGAAATCCAGGACATCGTGTCTCGACTTCAAACGACTGACGTACCACCCACGACTAATCGCCTACGTAAAGCGTACCAGATTCGTGCCGGGTTACTTTGCCATCGCAGTTCCAGCACTAAACATTGGGTGCCAGTTGTCCCTTCTTCACTACGCGGAGCGGTACTGCATCTTTGTCACGACGACCCTACGGCGGGGCATCTAGGCCGTGACAAAACTTTCCAGAAGATATTAGAAAGGTACTGGTGGTCTGGGCTTCGAAAGGACGTGGCAAGCTACGTAGCCTCTTGCTCACAATGTCAGCAACGCAAGTCACCAAATACAAGCAAGCCATGTGAACTTCACCCCATACCACCGCCTGAGGCTCCATTCGAGGTGTAGGGAATCGACCATCTCGGGCCTTTTCCACGTACATCAGGCGGCAACCGCTTCATTCTAGTGGCGGTAGATCATCTTATTAAATGTATAGAGTTATGCCCCCTGGCCAGTACCTCAACCGAAGAAGTCGTGCGGTTCCTTAGAACCCAGCTTCTCCTGCGACACGGAGTGCCACGGATGATCATAACTGATCGAGGTACAGCTTTTACCTCTGCCGTTTTCTCAGAAGAGCTAGCCTCTCAAGGCATAACTCATGCTAAAGCAGCTCCCTACCGACCGCAGACGAACGGGTTCGTTGAGCGAGCTAACAAAACAATTGCTGGAATTCTTTATTCGTACGTAAATGTCAAACAGACTGATTGGGACACTTTTGTTCCTTTTGCCGCGTTCGCGATGAATACCGTGAAGCAGTCAAGCACCACTTATACACCATTTCAGCTTGTTCATGGTAGAACGGCGGTGCTTCCTCAAGAATGCTCATCATCTGTAACGTGGCGGAATAGGGGAAACGATTTTGCTGACAATAACTTTTAACACCGTCTAGATGACGCACGAGAACGAGCAAGAATGGCTATATTACATTCTCAACAGCGTGCGGCATCTCGATAAAGCGCTCCTGGCTCAACACCCCGTCTATTTTCGGGTGACTTGGTCCTGGTTCGGAGGGAACAGCGAAAGAAAGGTCGAGCACAAAGCTTCTGCCTAGGTATAGGGGTCCCTGCGAAGTCACAAAGAAAATTGGACCACTAACCTATGAAGTTCGAGAATGGGGAACTTCACGGAAGACCAAGACATTTTCAGCGCATGTGCATCACCTGAAAATGTACATCCCACGCACAAGTGCCCCTCCTTCTTCTCCGGGTCAGTGAATTGTGGGAACCAAGGGGCCGATGAATTGCTTTTTGTGCTGTGGTAACTTTTACGACGGAGGGGGAGAGTGTTAGAGGCCGACGAAGAGGAGGACGAGGAGTAGAATGGTGCCCTAGAGAACGTTAAGTGGCATTCCGTCAGCCGGAACTGAAGTTGACTCCAGTGAGCCTGTAACAATATCTATACCTGGACGAGACTGGAAATGTCTCCTCTATTAACCCAGATATTCTAATATATATATATATATATATATATATATATATATATATAGAATATCTGGGTTAATAGAGGAGGCATTTCCAATTCCGTTCACAAAAAGGTGGTGCCTGCGAACATTAGACAGTGAGCAGTGTACTTGCGACTTCATGCGTTTTTCGCAATTCAGCAGGTTCTTATTCGGGTTTTGGACCTGCATTTTTATCATGCATCTACAGATTAGTCACCTCATTATTTTATTTTTCTGTAGACTAGGGTCAGTGGGTAGGGACGTATATGATGGAAATCCTTCTTGTGCATCACATGTTTCGCCACCGAACCTAACCAAAATTAATTACGAACATGACCGGATGCACCGTAACGTATTCGTAAAAAGGTCCGCAGTTATGACTCGAAACTACTTCGCGGTTTTATGGTGGCTCGCGGCCATTGTTTTCTTGGTTGTGTGCTGTAACAGGCACATTTGTATCTCGAAATTAGGTGCAAGTGACATAAAACATAAATACAGCCGCGACCGCGCTAAAACCGAAGCCAACCAAATTGAAGCCACCTAATGGAGGCGAGGGAGCCAGCGCCCTCTATCCTTTGGTCGGGTAACTTTACTGAGATGAAAAGGGTTATATATATGTGCTACGTCAGGTTAACATTTTTTCTGTACCTTTGTTCAGTGCTCAGATAGCAGCTGAAGCTGACTAACAATATTTTAGCCAGCGTTACTGCCGTATTCAATAGCACGAGTAATATCCATTCAGAGCTTTCGGAACTGAAGTGTTGCGGTACTGTATGGAGTTCCTTGAGAACATAACACAACATTTAGAAACTGAATTAATGCAACTTCTGGCATCATTAATCGCCACCATATATAATTACAAGTTTTAAAGGGATGAATTTGATATTACAAAAATTTTGAAAACGTTAAAATTTTTCCCAATGACACTGACCCACTAGAGTCAGAAAGGGTTTGCTCAACTCAGAAAGTTTGAGAATCACGACGAGGGTGTTATCGTTTTCATTTGGATAATAAGATTGTACTATAGATAAGCACGACGACACAATTTTTATAAAGGCAAAAAAAAAAGAATTTCGCTAAACGTTTTTACAATTACATTATATTACTGTGAAAAAGTGGGTTTCAAATTACCGGAGAACATATTTCCAATATTTAATTTTACTGCTCATTTTTAATGAAAAAACTCTTTTAAATCAGCATTCCGGAGGAACTGCTGTGGTTGAGGGGGCTGCTGTTGCAGCTGCAGTTTGAGTTTTGCATGACTCATGGTACACCAGTTCCGCGTACCTCCAGTCATCGCCTCCACAGGCATCCTCATACATATCCTCACAAGCAGAAAGTCCCCCGTCATCAACAACTGCGTCGTGAACATAAAGCTCGCAATCGGCACCTAGAAAGAACAAAGGCGTAATACACTTCTTACGTGCATTTGAAGGAGACGTAAAAGCATAGTGTCATGATTGTTAGGTAATTGTATGCGCCCTCTGTATGGCTTTTGGCAGGTGTAATAGCAAAAAATGCAATATCGAGTAGAGGCATACAAGGCTAACCTTTTTGCTGTAAGCATCCATCCCTAGGGCGTGAAATGTTTTCTACCTTAAATATTCTTTCGGCAAACGTCACTTTCTGAGCTGTGAAAAAAAGGCGGCGTATTTTTTTTGGTTTTTTTTTCGTTTTTTTTTTTTGTCGGCATTTTACTGGACAGATTGTTCTGACTCTAATAGTAGGTGGCTCCAGAAATGTTAATGTTGACATATTGCCACTTTAAAATTAGTAAATTTCTTTTTTTCTTTGTTCTTTTTTTTGGGGGGTGGGGGGGCTGGGTGGGGGGGGGGGGGGGGTTGCCCAACTAGCTTTTGCTGCGTTGCGCGAGGACAGCGCAAAAGAGGTTGGTTGCACTAATTCTTCACGGGCAGCGGTGCCGTCGGTGCTGAGAAGCGCTCAGATTGCAAACCGAAACTTAAAAACCCGTGACATTGTGCGTTTTTTCAGAAAGCCGTAAAATTCCGCGCGTGCCTTCTATCATTTTGTCATTTGTTGATTGAGTGCTTTCGATGATGCTCAGCAAGATTCTAATTGAAACCATGCCTTTATACCTAATATATAGAAATATAATTAAGCGTAAAATTGTTAGCAATTTAATTATCCCGAACTTTAATATTTTCTTAAATAGGCCGCTGGCTTAAAACCCAAAGATACAAAGGCCCTTTTTTATTTTTTGCTGCGATGCGCATTTTTCGCAATGTCGATTTAGTCCACCTTTGGTGAAACACCTTGTATATGGTACACCCTCCGTAAGGAAGAAAACCATTGTAAAGCGAAATAGAATATTCATTTCCTTTTACAAAAATGATTAAGTAGAGCAAAGTGAAATGGTACATTTCGGTTGCTTGATTTTTGTACCAATTTCTGTCGGTTGTTATCATTGAGTAAACAAAAACACACACACACAACACTTTTTATACGAATGTCTAATGTGCGGTCTATTTTTTTTTTATTTAAATTGAACTTTTTTGGTATAGTTCTTCACAAATGATAAAACGCTAGACAGCGTACCTTTGACGGTTTCGTGGCATATTTTGAGCGTTCTATCTTAGGATTTATCTTAAATATTGCTTACTAAATACTGTACGCCTATAGTCAGCTGCATGGGCCATCGACTGGTACTACTTTGATTTATTTTCGTAAAATAGTTTGACCAGCGTTTTTCTTTTTCTTTTATCAAAGCACAAGTCTGGACATATTTTGAAACTCCTTTAATAGAAATGGCCATTTCTATTTTTTCTAGGTTTTTCTTTTATTCTAATGATATCACACATACTTTAGCGTAATCGATGTTCTCCCGTTTTGTTGTATTTTCTATAGAAGTTACCAAACACACATCCACGGAGCCAAATCGACAAAATGGTAGTTTCGGAAGTTGCCTTCATTGCAAGGTTTTTTAGGCTCAAGAAGCTAAGGGCAGTGGCCTTACAGGTGTTTGGGAGGTGAAGTGGTTGCGGGAGCTAAAGATGGAGGGGCGAGACGAGAAAAGAGCTTGTTATGTGGACGTTCCGCCATTAGAGAAAAAAATGTCCGTCCCGAGCCCTCCGCTGTTTCGAAACCACTTCGTTTGCGGGATCTGTTTCAACACGAAATGAGCTTTATGAGTCGTTTTTTTATAATAAAATCATCATGTACGAGCCTCACGAACGATCGACACGCTGGGATCGTTACGTACTTTAAGGTTATTCATAATGTTCGAGCCCCTGCAGCGGAACTCGAGCCTGGGTCGGACACAATAGCCACTAAGAAGCGTAGCACTGCATCCCTTGAAGGATAGGGCTCCGGAAAAACGTGTCGGCGAGAGCGGTGTGACGTCACACAATGTAACCACTCACCTCACGGATGCTACGCATGACACAAAGCCATTCAAGAACCATGAGGTGCGCTTATTCGCTTCGTATCGCTTTGGCCAACATCCGTGGTGTACATGAGAAAGCTACCATATACCATGCGGGTGTCTCGCACCCGCATGGGGTGTGCTAAACACATTTTGACGTCCCTCGATGGTTTCTGTCGCATGGTCAAAGAAGCGAAATTTATATTTTTTTCCTTTTATTTGAAATAGGAGACTTTATTAGATGGGCATACTGTTGCTTATCGTAGATAGTGTACACAAATATTAATCTCTATTTTGCCTTTCGTGAGTTTCTCCGCGTGTCATGTCCCCATGGGAAAAGTGCACACAGTCGACCCTAGCGGCTTTTAAAAACCAGACGACAAGATATGCAACTGATAGACTGGGCGTTGTAGCTAGCATCCTTGTCACCTGCTCCAGTTTCAACCAAATTTGCTTGTGTCCAGTTTTTTTTCATGCCTGGCGTTCACAGATTTCGACGAGGCTTCTAAGGATGGTCGACATAAAAAGATGTATTAAAATGAAAGTTTTCGCTCGCAGAATCATCTCAATGTAGATCTGTTGAGGTCATTTTAGTCCCCTCACAGCGCTGTCGCGATGAGGAACGCTGACGTACTTTCCCAAAAGTGCTTCGTATGCCTGAATAAGCAACGTTCTGCGTCATGTGCCAGCGAGTTGAGCCCAAATTTGTACCCATCTTAGTACTGCTTCCGAGCATTATGTGCTCGCATACTTCGAAGAATGAATTCCTGGTGGCGGACTAGAGACTACATCACGAAAACTTCAGATGGCGAAAAAGACAAAATTTCGACAGTCAGAGCTGAAAAGAAAGCTAGGCAAACTAAAAGTGGTTATCGGATAAAAAATAAAAAAAAAGACACTAGCTACTGCCATTTAGGCGAATTCAAGGTACGGATACTTCCCCGAATATTGGGCTTCTGCTTCTCGTGTGGTGTGTGATGGATCAATATGCGTCAAGTTGTTATCAAGGCAGTGTACTATCGGTTGCCAGCGTCACTCTTACTCATGTAACGTTAACTGAGGCAAAAATATTGATTCCCGAGGCATCAAAATACGTGTTGTTAAAGTTGAGAAACTACAGACTCACTTTGGTGAGTGAAAATTGTGATATCTTTACCGCGGGTGGAAGATTAGCGTTGAGGTATTGCACTGCCGGAACAGTACCCACATCTAGAAAATTAATTTATTATAGAACAGCTATTGCCCTTGACCACTGAGTACTACACAAGGACAACCTTGAATGTTCAAATAAAAGTCTAAACATAAAATGTGCCCTGCAAATCATTAAGGCTTGCAACAAGGAAGTTGCCAAAATATACGTAATCAGGACTATTTGGCAGACGTATTTGATGCTTGTGAAAGCCATTACTGAGACAAGCCTTTCATCCACTTCGTCCATAACAGTGGCGGATCCAAGGGGGGGGGGGGGGGGGCGACGGGGGCGGCCGTCCCCCCTTCCCCCCAAACAAGGTCGACCCCCCTCCCTCCCCCCTTCTCGAAGGGCAGGTTAACATGGGTGGACCCCGCTTGCACAAGAAAGAATGAGAAAATAGTAAAGTTAAAAATTTTCCGCCCCCCCCCCCAAAAAAAAAACGGAGTTCTGGATCCGCCCCTGGTTCATAATAAATAAAGGTTAACTTAAAGTAAACAACTCGTGCCTACGTGTACTGCACCGGTTTTTATCTTTGTTTATCGACTCGCATTAAGGTGAGATTAGTAAGCAAGAGATCATGTCCATGAGCCCTTGTCACACCTCACTTCATCAGGTCCCCATCGAGGTGCTTCACGGACCGAAAACTTTCATGCCGAAATTCCTTATTTTTATTTAAACAATCGTAAAGAGACTCGACTAAATCTGTGAACATCAGCCATAGAAAAATCTGACCATAAAAAACGTGGAATGCAAAAAAATTGAACCAGGGGAATGGAGGCTAGCTACAACACCAGGATTGTAGATCATCGTCATCTTGCTTTTAAGGGCCTTTAGAATCCTGTCATACGCCCTTCGGGAGGAAAAGATCACAAGTAGAAAACCACACTGAAGACGACATACCAAAAATAATATATTTACTTATCTGAGATAAACAACAATATACACCCAGACTCAAGCGCGCTAATTTAAATTGAGAGGAGAAAGACAAGCGTAGCTACTGGTGTCGGAACAGCGGGTAGTTGGGGAGTCATTGTTTTCTAATGGTGGCACGCCACCATAACGCATTTCTCTACCCGTTTCCCGCTCCATCGTCAGCTTCCGCCACCCCTTTCACTCGCCAAACACTTCCAAGGTCACTGTACTTTGATTTTAAGCCTATAAAGCCTTGCTGTAAAGCCAACTTACAAAACTACTACTTTGTCAATTAGGGTCCAGTGATGTGTGTTTGGTCACATCCACAGAAAATACTACAAAAAAGGGGCATGGTTACCCAGGAGCGGGCAAAGACTGGGACGGACAAGCGCATTATACTTGAGCTTAGTGTATATGTTTTTTTAGCTTTCCCCCGCTCCTGGATTACCATGTCAGTATTAAACTAGCTCGCCTGCACACTTGCATTAGTTCAAAATAAAGGAACTCTAAGAATGCTAAAAGATAACTGGGATTATTGTAAATAATGTCAAGTACCAGAAAAATAAAAAAATAGCCTAATTTAATAACGGGGGCCAAAATATAACTAAATTTATTTTTGATTAAATTTAAAAATTTGTATAATTTGCTTCGCCAAAATTAACTAGACGAAAGCGGTACCAGTCGATATACCATGCGAGGACTGCAGGTGTACATTATTTAGTGAGCAATATTTGTGATAAAACCTAAGATGCACCGTTCAAAATTTATCACCAAATCGTCAAAGGAACGATGTTTTGCATTTTTTTTTATTTCTGGCATGAATTCTACAATAAAAAGTTTAATATAAACTAAAAGAGAGGCCGCACACTGTACATGTCTGCAGAAAGCTATTGGGATATTTTTTTTATACTAATTTATAACAACTGACAGAACTGGGAACAAACATCAAGCTCCCGAAACGTAGCATTTCACCTTACTGCAATTAAGAATTTTAAAAGAAAATAATGTATTTTCTTCAATATAAAAACCGTTTTGTTTATTACAAAAGGGGGCTACTATTTTTTCAAGCAATTCTAAATACCCACCCTGATGTGGGTGTTTAATTACAAATGAAACAACCCAGTAATGTTGGCACAAGAAATCCATAGTATGTATAAAGAGGGTAATCAAAAAATCTTGCTCCTTCAAGCGTGTGATGGCATGTGGCTTCCTTAACAAAATTGTATTTTTTATTTTGTTCATTTGCTATTGATATCTGCATTGGTTCATGTTCCATCCGCCCTACCCCCCCCCCTCTCCCCCCCCCCCCCCCCCACACACACAGAAATGTAACTGAATAAAACACTTTTTACTCACCCCCATTTCCATGAAGTACACGAAGGATATCACATTTTTCATAGTCAGAGAAAATGAGCTGGTACTCCGACCCCGTTGTGGAATCTGAAAAAGGTATCACTATGCTATTTTTGGGAGTAGATTTCCTACCTGCAGTACATAAAAATTTCAGAATGCGAGTAGTGCCTCATTCTCAGATGGTGCCTGCAAGACCTGCCTAATCTAGGTTGGTATGTCAGGGCCATTCCCTTTTTGATAGAAAAACCTCAAGTGATTGGGGCTGTTCTTTAGATTGTCTATATTACGACAGTTAAATGCCCGGTATAAAACATTTTGAGAACGATACGCGCATTTTGTTTTCTTCAGTAAGTGCCTCGTGAGGGCTGGTGGTCAATCAATTAGACGTTTATGAACCGCAAAATATAGAAAAAGGTGAAGAAGTAAGCTTGTGCTTGTCGATGGCTATCGAGGCCTGGGCTTCCGGTTGCTCCCGGTCGGCTTGAGTCCGCGCTTGTCTACCTCCACTCCGACGCTACGAGTTTCATACTCGGAGCGCCGCAACTTAAGGCTGCGGTCCCACGGCAGCCATCTTGAACAAGGCGTTAGTTCAACCAATAGATGGCGACACACACCCGTGGGGTGTAGTGGGGTGGCCGAAACATTGGTTCACAGTGGGATGGCTCGAGCACCATCACGTTCACCTCGTGGGCTTGCTCGCGCCGCTGCCAGCTGTGCTCAGCTTGCTCAAGTAACGTGGCCCATCGAACGGATGTATGCGAGAATGTCAGGCTGGGTATAAATTGTTCTCTGATATAGGGACATGCGGTTCGGCGGTTGGTACGGTCTTTCGCAATAAATCTTACCAAGGAGGAATCAAATGTTGATTGACGTGTTAATGTTTTATCAATGAAAATTTCTTCTGCAGGCATGCACGCTCAGTAGACTTAATATTCCAAGACACCAGTGGAAGTGGACGTCAAGTAAACTGCTTCGCGATTTACGGTACTTACCTCACCATTTTAATAACGACTAAAATAACGTCACGAAATATTGTGTTTCACGGGGTCCGGAAGATGTTTTAAAGGTTGTTACATTATAGTTCCCAGAAAACAAGCGCCGTTGCAATATTTTCGGAAGTACCGACACACATAATGTTGTAAGTACAGCTTAGGAGGAATATGATGAAAACCATCGAAAGAAATAGGAAGACGTTTGTCTGCAATGAATACGCTATGAATGAACGGCGTTTAGCGACGGCAGTTACGAGCGTTCGGGAATTTATAAGTTGACGTGATTGCTAACTATGTACATGCGGACAATGAAGACCAGTTTTGTCGAGAGATGGTGTTGCGGTGATGACCTGATATCGGACGACTCATGGCAGACGAACAAGCAAGTTTCTTCTCAGCGAATGGTAAGCGTCCAGTGTCAAGCACAACACGTGGCTACCGACGTTGTCGACGTTTCGAACACTTACCGCTTTCGACAAAAGTCCTATCACCTGTGCTAACTTTGTGGAAAGATTCGAAGTCTTCCTTGAGTCCAACGCCATCATGAACAGTAACTGAAAACGATCCACTATTCAGTCGGTGGGTGGCGAAACGTATAAACATCTGCGGAGTCATGGGCGATGCGTACTCTAAGTGGCTGGAAGTTTACACGATGCCTGCCACGACGTCCAAACACGTCAATGACGTTCTATGGTCTCTTTTACATACTTTTGCCCTACCAAAAATGCTTTTCTCTGATAAAGCGCCCAATCTTGCTTCAAATAAAATAAACAAGTTTTTGAAGAAAAAAAAACGGCATCAGGCATCACATTAGTGCACCATACCATCCAGCAACTAACGGGCATGCAGACCAGATGGTGTGCGAAACAAAAAGAAAAGCCCTTTTGAAGCTTACGGAAGAAGCAGTTCAGTGAAGAATCGCCAGGTTGTTGTTCCAGCAGCACGCGACGGTCTCCTCTTACACGGTAAAAACACCCGCCGAAGCAATATTCGGCGGACGAAGAGCCACACCCCTCGATCTCATGATACTGTGGCTTAAGGGGTATTCACACGAGGGAGAAATCCCGGGGATTTCTCCCCGGCACGCGCATCCCACGACGAAAACGTCAGGCTTTGCGATGTGCAAAAGCCTCGCGTTTTCATCTCGTGATGCGCGCGTGTCGGGGAGAAATCCCCGGGATTTCTCCCTCGTGTGAATACCCCTTTCGAACGAAGATCGAGAGATCCCCAGATCGGGAGTAATTGCAGTTTGTTCGGTCGGACAACTCGTCTACGTAAGGAATTTCAGCGGCAGTCGGGCCTTTTATGTAAAACTTGAGTAGAAAAGGCTCTATGTTGGTTGACCAGAAGGTATCATCTCTCTGAATACGTTGGATATCAATGCCCGCCCTTGAGTGTAAATATAACTAAATAACAAAACTCTCTTTGTGTATTGTGTAACTACCCTTGTATTTTATAGTAGAAGCTATGGTGGTGATTTGGACCTTAAACACCAGGCTCCTTTTTCTTATTTTTCGCCTCATACTCCTTTGCGGTTTAAGTATGCTTCAAGAATCTTTTGGAACGGGGACACTTTACGTCAACGAGGCCATTTGTTCCAAGTAGTCAATCAGGGAATGCTGCTAGAAATCCGTCCCTCATATTAAAGAATAAGCCGCACTTCTGCACAGTGCAGTTTTCCTGTTCCACGTACAGTTGTAAAGCAGCATCCTCATTGATTCTACCATATTTTGTTGCGGGTGAAGAAAGTCTTTGGGTACACGATACTTGAAACGAGTCTGGCACTCTACGTTGTGGTTCGACACCCACTGATGTCGTCGTCCTTATAGAGCCTCATCATTTAATAATTACCTCGTCACCTCATATTGCTCTTCATCAACAGTAAGTACAATAGGCTACCGCCATACCAAGAATTGAAAAATTGAGTCGTTCAGTCCTTCAACAAGTTTATTATTTATATAATGTTATTACGTCACATTACCTCGAGAAGGTCGACATCCATCGTCGGTCTTCAAATACTTATACCTGTATATAAATTAGACGCACAAAGGGGGGGGGGGGGGGGGGGGGAGGGGGGGGTTGGTGGCTGAGTGCATGGTCTAGCGCACACCAGCTCGGAGCACTTGGAGCGAAAGCTCGCGCTGCAGAACCCACCCCGCCCCTGCCCGTTTCGATCTGGAAGAGCATCGTACCGGCGTGCGGTCGTGTATCACTACTGCGTGGTGCACGTTAAAGACCCCAGGTTTGCGGTTGTACAGCACTGGCTAAATTGCTCATCTACAGCTGAGAGTCAGACGTCCACTAAGGCAGACTAACTTCCGGATGTATAAACATACACACAACAATTTGCAATTAGACGAATAATAACAAAGAGCACAGCGTGCCGCCTCTTTTCTTTGGATGCCTTTTTTTAAACTAGCGCAAGCTCGCGCGTTCTCTCTTTTGAGACGGTTAGAACGGTCGCACATAAAACCCGCGTTTCCCCTACCCGGCCGCTTCCTCCTCTCATTATTTGTAGTTGGTTATAACTAAATAAGCTATAATAATGGTGTATTATTCATATTTACTTTCAGTTTCAGTCAGGGAAAAGGGGTTTCGCGGGAACTAGAGCAAATACATTAGCTGCACTTAGAGTAACGGCACTCTCTTTCCCGACAGTGTTGTGAACGCCGCCATTCTGGTGCTTGTGCAGAGCAGGCGCAACTGCCGATTGTCATGATTCAAAAGTGCGACATCCTCAGCATTAGATTCGGTGTTAGGAAGCTCATGTAATGTTGCTTTGCTTTGTCGCAAACTGTTTAAAGTGGAGGACGGAAAAGCGTTTCTTGTGATTCCAGATAAAGCTTCAAATAACTGGCAACCATGATTTTAAGCCACAATATGGCCAAGTGTCGCTACTCTGACGTGTAGCTTATTTAATGACACTATTCATGATCTTGTTTAAGAGGCTTGTAATACCTGGAGGGGCCATGACGTAAGTCCCGTGGATTCCACAAGCCACTACCTTTTGACACCTGCCTCTTCCTCATTGTTCCCGCTTGTGCCAGTAAATTAGCAACGGTTCAGAGTAACGACACTTGGCCATATTGTGCCTTAAAATTATGGTTGCCAGTTACCTGAAGCTTTATCTAAAATCGCAGGAAACGCTTTTCCGTCCCCCACAAATGTTTAAACAACCCGCGACAGAGCAATGCGATAGTGCATCAGCTTCCTAGCACCGCATCTAATGCTGAGGAAGTTGTACTTTTAGATCATGACGATCGGCAGTTGCGTTTGCTCTGAACAAGACCCAAAATGGCGGCGCCCAAAACAATTTTGTGGAACGGAGTGCCGATACTTTAAAGTTCATTAAGTGACTCTGGGCATGAACTCGGGTGCATTATTTTCCTCTTCGTCTTTATTGTTTATTGATTTCAGTCATATCGAATAATGAACACATTATATCACGCTACGCTTGTGTAATTATTTGTCTTAGATTTATTAACCTGACCCAGTACTTAAACCATTCATTTATCGATAGTAAATCTTCCAATATATTTTTTTTAAATGTGAAGGTACAAAGATACGGAAATTGATGATGATACAGACGCCAACGCCGCCCTCGGAAATTTTTTGAACACTAGAAATCAGCAGTTTGTCTGCCATCCGCCAGGTAGCGCAACAAAACACCCAAACAGCTTTTAATTGTTTTTAAAATTAGCTAAGCTGTACACCTATTAAAAACCAAAGCAAGATCATTGTGAAAATTTAAGACATCGCAATGTATATCTATTCGAAACAATAAATGTTATTAGATGCCAATAAATCTGTTTGATGTCCAAAAAATATATGCGTCAAAAACAGGTAAGTTTGAAGGGCTCCTGGAGTGTTATGACTTCAAAAATGAGAAAAAAAAGCCATCGTCCACCTCTTGGGCAACCATTGTAGCTCTAAATGTTATAAAAGATTTTATCATAGTTTAATTATTTCCTCAGCGACATTTGAAGTACCACGACTCGAAGCACAAAAAAGTGCTACGTTTGATATAAAATATTTAAACAAAAAAATTTTACACAACATTAAATTTTTTTCTGCATATTACCAAATATAAGCACT